GATTATTTTCCCCTTATGTATTTCATTTTCTTAATTTCTAGTTGCCTTCTGTTTGTTTTTCGTTATTTTTGGGCAATTGAACATGTTTCCTCAGCCATTGAAACGTAAATTATATAAAATCAGTCAGCAATTGTTCAATACTATTCAAACAAGATCACACGCATAACCAATCATATTCTATTTTTTTCTAACCTAAATCTAATTTTTGAAAACTAAGCACTATTTATATATGTGTATTTTGTTATTCTTGTAAAATATGTTCATGTAACGTTTTGCATTAAGGAAGAACCGTTGCAAATGTTGAGAGAACTTGTGGGTCCACCCTTTTGCCAGATATGTTATACCATTGTATTATAACTGTGTTAACATGTATGTATATGTGCCTTTTTTAGTAAAATATGTTTGAATAGTTATGTACGTATAGTATATGTGAGTTTTTAGCACAGGGAACAATAAAAATAACTCTTAGAAATGCTTAACTTAGGGTAAATAGGTTTGGCAGTATTATGTCTATGGCTGTATAAAACATTTTATATTCCAGACAATTGACAATAGTATACGATTAGCAGTTACATATATGTATAATATCATAAACCGTTATGGCTAATTTACTTTAGACTGTTAACAAGTTTTTATTATATACTTTATGATAGAAATTAACTTAAAATTCTTCCAAGGACACCTGGTATGTAAAGGGCAAAACTAGTATACATATGAACATTATGTCATGCCAGGGTTGTCTCCCTTCAAATAAACTGCATGAATGAAATACAAGATTTCGTTAAATATCTATTATTTCATTAAAACAATAGCTAGAACTGAAATATAATTTGTTTACCAACAAAATTATACGACTGTGTCACATCACCTGACATTTGATTTATGAAAATGTAACAGAGTTATTATGTCTGCATGATGCAAATTACAAGAATGATAATACACAAAGCTTAATGATCAAAGACATCCGTGGAGCTATAATAAAAAGTTACAGGAGCTTGAGAACGTACATGTGATGAGCTAGATCTTGCAGGATCACTAGGACCTGTAAATAACAAATTTAATATAAAATTCGCAATTTAAATCAAAGTACATTGACATAGATTCGTTTAGTGTCTTTGCATGTAGGAATAAAAGTTTTGGAAGGCAAATGTACCTTATTACTTTAATCTATATCAAACTCACACAGGTTTAGTAAAAAATAAAAAGTTTTGATATTTGGGGATCTGTAATTATGAAAACATTTAACTTCTCATCATCAAAATCTAAAAAATGAGCTAGGAACCTTAAAATTTATGTACAGATGCACATTGAAAGTCCTACTCGCCATATTTATTTTGGATCAAAGCCCAAGGTGCAAATGACTTTACATATATCATTTCTATTTTAGTACCTTTAACTCTGTATGTGGATGCGTCTTTATGAGTTTTAACAGGAACGCCACTTTTTTCTGAAACTTATTTTCAATATTATTGAGAACTTTTAGAATAAATATTGTCCAGCACTGAGGAAAATGGAACACGCACCTACCCAGACAGTTTTGCTAAAAGCAAAGGCCTGGTTGCCGCAGTACTCCTGAGTTTGTTTTCCAAAGGGTTGAACTTTTTCCATTAAAAACATAACATTATTGTAAATGCAAAAAAATTGAAGGCTGCTTGAAAATTTTCTAAATAAGAATTAGTTAATATTTAAGAAATTCTGAAAGGTAAATTATATTTTTCGTTTTTCATTCCCCCCCCCCCCCCCCCCCCCCCCCAAAAAAAAAACCGTCTTATTTATTTAAAATGATTCAAAGTTAAACAACCTACCCAGTTAATGACTTCTTACTGCTTTACTAAACGGGGTTTTATAGTGCACACATGATCTATAAAGGTCATATGGTGACTTCTTTTGGGGCCTTTTCGTGTTATTGAGAGAACAAATTTCTGTGAAGCCAGCTGGATTCAATTCTTATTCAAAAGTTAGGCTTACAAGTTTACTAAAACATTGAGTGTTTAAAGACTATTTTACATGTATAAAAGATAATATGTTTACATGTCCTTATTGTCGGACTTTAAAGGTGTTATTGGGACAGGCCGTACGAAGTAAAAACAATCAGACATAGACTAATCACAAAGTATTGAGGAAGGCAGTATGAAGTACAAACAACAAAGAAAAACAGACACAGAGTTTTCATTTGAGTTCTTAATGGGTAAAGAATGGATATTAATTACATTAGTTGCCATTGACCAACTTCAAAAATACTAGAACTTGTTAATCTAATATTTATTATTAGTTATTAAGTGTTTGGCAAAACTTGTCCACTGCTCATGTTGATTGAGCTGTCGCAAAATACAAATGGCTTAACACAAAAAATATACAACAACAAACAGTATTTATACATGTGGAACAAGACACGAGCCCAACCCTGGGTGTAACATAAATCGGGCCCTATGAATGTTATCTGCAGAACTGCATACCTACTAGTACTTTGCTGACTGCAACATGTCAACTATTGTTTAAAACAAAGAAACAGTTTTTTTGTCAGACAATAATTACACTTGCAAGTAACTAATTCGAGCTGTGACGATCCGGCTGTACTTAATTTCCACAGAACCTGAAAATGTATACAGACATCACGACAGCACATGAATCTACACACAGCAACATGATACGGAAGGGTTAACATTTAATGTTAATTGCTTTTCTTTTAATTTAAATGGTTATAAACCACTAAATTAAGTATTTACCTGCCTTCCAAGACAGCACCTATCAAGTTCAGAGAATTGAACCTTATTTCAAATACGTTATAATCAGTCATCGATATTATTTATCGTAAAAAGCTTCACACAATTCACCGATCATGCAGATAAAACAATCAAGTGTGTTGTTATACAAAAGTCGATAAACCAAAATTACGTCAGGAAAACTTCTTCTACGCTCAATGAACCTTTTGTATTTATAATTGAAGGGCAATTAATCATGTTAGTTTGGACAATAATCTGCACACAGTTCTTCGTAGCGTTCTGTTTCCAAAATGTTTTTGTAAGCGTTTTAATTAACTAACATGTTTTAGCATACTTTATGTGTTTTAAGAAGTTCGTTCCTTCGTGTGTTATATATTGTTTGTAAAACAATTTAGTCCTGGAGAGGAAAATAAATACGGTTATGAAGTGATGGACTTCAAATAGATAAGCGCTTTGAGTCCTTTTTGACTTTCAAGAAAGGCGTTACAAGGAGAAACAAAAGCATTTTATTTTGAATATTAACGATGTCACATAAGCGTTGTCAGAGATGGGATTCTTTAATTACATGTTTTGATGTACGCATTTGAAAAAAACATGTATACATGTGCTTATTAAAAAAAGTATTAAATTCTGAAACGTTTTGGATAGGCATGGGAAAAAATAGAAACAAAAATTACAGTCCATACAAACTATGTCTATAAAATACGGTTGCCATATTAATGTATCAACACAATTAGATTTCATTAAGAGTTTATTCAAATATGTATAAAAGTCTGACAAAAAAATCTAATAAAGAGAAAAAATGAGAAAAAGCAACAACAACCCCCAGCAGCAGCAGCAACAACAACAACAACAAAACAAAAACCAAAAAAAAAAAAAAAAAAAAAAACCAGCAAGCAGCATACCTGATGAAATAAGACAATCGTTAAATCAAACCGAAACTTTCATTTTAGCTAACAAAATGTGTCTGTAAGATGTTCTTAATACGTTATTATTGTAGAGGAAAAAAGAGGGTTAATGTACCTATTAGCATCTAAAGAAGCACAAAAAGTCATTTAAGGCCTAGGAATAAAAAAGTCATGTAGATGCTGAAAACAAAACAAATGACGTAGCTATAAATATTACTTAGGTATTACATAAATGAAAAAAATGCTGTTCAGTTGAGAATAATGTCAAAAGGTTTATTCAATACGTTTTAATCAGTCATAAATATTTATTAATTGTAACACGCTTCACAAAATTCCTCGATCAATCAGATAGAACAATCAAGCGTATTGTTACACGATATCAAGCACAACATCAAAAAGCCAATATACCAAATGACGTCAAGAAAATTTCTTCTTGTTTTTAAAGAGATTTGGGGTTCTTTGGAAAAGGACGCTTTAAAAAAAAGTGTAAAAATTTTGGGGTTATTCCCAAAAAAATTTAAGTTCTGAAAAGTTTTGGGGGAAAAAAAAAAAAAAAACAAAAAAATTTTTAAATTTAAAATTTTAAAATATGTGTATCAAATTTCGTTTTTTCCCAGAATCCTTGCCCGTTAATGTATCAACACAATTTGATTTCAATACGAGTTTATTCAAACATATTTAAAAGTCTGAGAAAAAGCTAAAGCATACCTGATGAAATAAGAAAATTTTTCAATCAAACAGAAACTTTCATTTAAATATACCATTGTGTTAAAAATGATGTTTTTAATAAGTTACATTTTTGCTGTAGGAATAAAAATTTGTTTTAAAACCCCCTCTTTTTGTTTTTAAAATTTATCTTAAGAAACAAAAAGGAAAATTTTACAGTCAGTTTTATTAAAAAAAAAGGTTTATATTTGATGCTAAAACCAATTACAAATGACGCAATGGGCAATTTAAATTATTTGGGTTTATTCAAAACATTATAATCAGTTTACAAATTTTTAATAAATTTAAAAATTTTATGATATTGTCTATGATATGTCTTTGACCAATTTAACTCAAACTTTCTAATTGCTATTGAACACTAACCTATAACATAATTGCATACGTTCATGTCATTTTATTGAATTTGAAAACTTCACATTTTTAAAGAACATTTATGGCACTTTTAAAAGTCGTTATTCAATTCATCTGCCTTAGTAATAAAGTAAGCAAATGTAGCACAGCGACACTAGATTTGTATAAAGGCGTTGGAGTGAAAATATTTCCAGCACCCAAGCCGTATATAAGAGGATTATTAAAATGTGTCACGTCATAAATCACAACCAATCAACATCAAAACGCATGATCTTTTGTCCATGGTAAACCTGCGGGATACAACGCTAAGTATCTGCGCTTCCACAGGCGTTCTGGAACACATTGATTACTATCTCATTTCCGGCGTCCGGAATCACATTACCTTCAAATCGCTGAAACGATATAAAATATTTATTTTCAGATAAATATTGCAAGTTTGATAAAGGTATCGGCGACCTGAGATTAACTGCTAATAAAGGTTAAAATACACTAATTATGGTGTGAGTCATCGAGTCATATTGGGTTTAGAACCATTGCGTCAATCAGTCAAAGGTTAAGTCCATTAAATGGACTCCACTAAGATTTTGTTTTTACATTATGCGACTGGAAATAGTTCCTTAAAATCGATATTAAATTTTATGTAGTTCTGGATCAATAAATTGTGTGCAAAATCTCAGATCATTTACTTATTCTGTTTTTTTTTCACAATGGCATGTAAGTTTCTGAGTCTGAGTCTTCTAGTTTTCTGAGTTTGCAATTCCATGCAATTTTTTACAGATTGATGCTTCCGAGGGATCACACTTTTTCAAGATTTTTAATTCTTCATTTCAGTTCTTCATTTCAGTGCTGTTGTATTTTTCTGGTATTTTGGGATCATGGATTCCAACACTTCAAAGTGATAATCGCGTACCGCTCAAGCCAGTGCTAGGGCGTAAGGGATGTTGCACCTTCTATTTTTTCTCATGATGTACAGACTCAATCAAACCGAGTCTGAAATTTTCATGTTACAGTAAACTCCGCTTATAACGATATTCAGGGGACATACAAAACTATATCGATATATCCGAATATCGTTACAACCGAATTTCTGACGGTGTGTAGCTTACTGACGATGCACTGCATCGTTCAACATGTATAAGCAGTAGCATTATATACTAGACATGTGACAATCATGTACTTACGACAAAACTTTATTCTTTTTATGCATATCAATGTTGAATGCATAAAAAATCAGTTGCACATCAAAATAAACACAAAACTGACATAAACCGAAACAAGGTTAGCTTTTAAAAAAGCTAGTACCGACTCGCTTCGTAATTTTTTTTCCAGGGGTGCGTTTAAATGTAAAAATGACAGTTCTGTTAGCTGAAGATACTTCAGCGAACATCAAAATAAAAGTGACATAAAGTTATGGAAGCCAGTTTCACTCAGTTTAACAAAGAGGAATATGAGTATATATGAAGATGCATGTAAACAGATAGAATGAAGTCGCTATGTCTACCACATTTACTATATGCCTTTTGACCTTGACCAAATAAATGTTAGATAGGTAGAATTCATAAAGATGTCTCTTTATACGAAGTTAAGTTGTAATATGATATTTAGTATTGGAATGAGTGACAGACACAAGTCCTAAAGTAAACACAAGTTGTCAATTAATTCATCCAGAAAAAGCCGGGATCCTATTAAAAAATATAGGGATCCCGGGAACTAACCAGTCTTAGATGCTTTTCAGATAAACCGGGATCCTATTAAAACATATAGGGATCCCGGGAATTGACCAGTTCAAGAATATAGATTTCAGAAAAGCCGGGATCGTATTAAAGTCTAAAGAGATCCAAGGGATTGGCCAGTTCAAGAATAGTTTTCAGAAAAGCTGGGATCGCATTAAAACATAAAGGGATGCCGGGATTTGACCAATTCAAGAATGTAGTCTTTGATTTTTCCAATTAATTAGGCATATAATTATAAGTATTGTGATTTTTAAGTTTGTTGATAAATAGCTCTAAATATATTTATATCCAAAGTTTAATTAATTTAACGTTCATTACATACAATAAAAAAAACTTAATGTTTAATGGCCTTTCATTACGACATAATCACACAAATATAGTTTATAAGTTTTTCTTCTATATCTTATACGATCCCGGATCCCGGCCAGTCCGGGCGTCCCGGATCCCGGTCAGTAAATATATACACTAAATACCAGAAAGGATAAAAATGACCGGAAAAAAAGGAAATAGAAAAAAATGCACACAACCAGTGTACACTTATGTTAATTAACCAAACGAAACTTACTACAGAGGAACAGGTGAAATCGCTAAATCAAAAGTCAGTGTTGATATGATTTATTGAAAAGAATACATGAAAAACAAACATTTTTAATCATCATAATATCTTTGCGCTCAAACAATACTTGCTGCTTTTTAAATATGGCGTGAAAATTGAAGGTTTTTGACGCTAGTGTAAGATTAAATTTGATTGGCTAAATAATTTTGGATCCTAGCCCTGATAGATAAATTTTTATAGAAAGCTGGAAGCCAAGCTTCGATTAAATTTTCGGATGGATTCGGAGTTTTAGGTTGTTTCTCAGTAAAATCCTAACGTAATACCGGCTCGCCGTGGCGAGCCGGCATTAATTTCATGCTGTGCTTGATTCATAAATCCAGCCTTTCTAAAACAATTCTGGATACACGTCGGTGTTGCATCTTTCCATGCCGCATAAAACCATTGTATGGCTTTTAGAATGTTAATCTGTTTATCGATATGTTTGTCTAGACATGAAATAATATGGTCAAGGACACGTGACCTGTTAATGCCTTTGAATGAAAAAGATAATCCCTTGATCACAGGGCTGTAACTTAGATGTAGTGTTAGGTGGGAAAAACAAACAGTTTTACAGCTTTTAATCCCATCGATTTTCGGATGGGCCGGGGCAAATTATCACAAACAATAGAATAGATCTTTTCTCACGTGTCATACGTTTGTCAAGTTTTTCACCCAACTGATAAAATTTCTGTGTTCATCCAAGGCACGACGATTAGCTTCGTAATCACCGGCAAACTTTTAACATTTTTAAAACATCTAGGATTTTTGAATGTTCACTGTTTTAGCTACATGTACATGTATAACTTATTTACAACGAAAAATTGTTAATTGAAAGGAAACAATAAAAAGGACCAAAACATGCTTTTATTTTTTGAGATGAATTCACCCTGTATTGAGAACAAAACGGTAGTTTACGTACGCACAGAACATGTTTCCGCGTCATTGTATTTAATCGAGCAGATATTTATGCATTAAAACGAGCGGACCGAGACCGCTCTTCCACAACAAACTTGTGCAGCAAATTATCGTTTTAAGAGGTAATACATGTGCGTTGGGGTTGAAAATCCACATCGATATATCCGAAATATCGATACATGCGATATCGATATATGCGAGGATGCTTCCGTTAGGTTATAATGGAAGTTGGCAGGGACCAAGACAAACGTATCGATATAACCGATATATCATTACAAGCGATATCGATACAGTTGGAGTTTACTGTAATTTGTTGTGAAAAATGCTTTCGAGCGATCACACTTTTTCCAGATTTTTGTTTTTATTTTAAGAAATAACCAAAAATTGAAACGATTTTCACTCAAATCGAGCTAAGAATAACACAACAATTTTAATTTCAGTTAATTTTTGAGTATATATTTACATTATCTTTTGCGTGTCTTTTAGTTTTAAGTTCCCCACCTGATCCATGTAGGAAATTGAAATTAATTTTTTTCTTTAATATGTTGAAATCACTTACAGCATTTTTTTCTGAATAATTTACCTGTCAAAGTCAATAAAACTAATTTTCACACCTCTTTTAAATAGAGAAAACAGAATCCCTAATGAACGATCAAAAACGACAAAACTGAATTTTTCGCAGGCTAGGTTGATATTGCACTGTACAATAAAATAACAAACAACAAAATAAATAGTAGCAATGTGACATACCGGATAATGACTAATGCTGCTTGTAAAGAACATTGTAAACATGACATTATAACCTCTGGTCTGGAAATTACTGAAACAACTACGAATCTAAATCAGTCTTCTGATTTCCCTTAATCTGTTAAAAATTATAGCACATATGTCGGTAAAAGAAATGAAGGAATGTATATGTTAATATATTTTTATCAAAATGAAATGGTTTAAACCATTTAGCATCCTTTGATTTTTTTACATATACCAGGAAGGTGTAAACTTCAAAACAAATATTGAACCATATTAATCAAATGGTACTTACTGCTTTTTTGTCCGCCCAGAACCAATTTTTGTAGTTAGTACTACAAAATATATAGAAATACGTCACCCTTTCATCACAGCAAGAGTCAAACGTTTCATTTCGCCACCTTCCTTGAATGGCAAATCCCCGAACTCTGGACAATTTTGGTACACCAATCTGTAAACAAATGTACATAACATAAACAAATACAAGAAGCATAAACACATTAATAAACGACATTTTAGAATAGTAGGACACAACTTATTAGTATGAAACTATGTATAAACTATTATTTTCTACTTAATGTCGTACAAAACGTTATCACCATAAGACTTTCGATGTGTGTGTTACGATGTCGATATAGTGCTATTTAAAGTATTTGTAGCTTGTTATAGCTTTTTATTGCAGTGGTGTTGGAAGAGTAAATCACTTTTTATAACAAAACAATAACCGCAAAAATGAAGTACAATTCTTAATATATTCTGAAAACATTGGAGACTGTATTAATAGAAGTCATTAATTCATGACGGAAACAACGACGTGTTTCACGTCAGCTTTATGTTATATTCCATGTAACCATACAAATTGAGAAAATGATACAAGCAAAATTGGAACATTATTAATCTGAAATGTTTGGCGAGTAATCAGAATAATTTTTACAAAATTGTAAGAACAAGCAATATCGTTTATATTTGTAACATAGACTGACTTACAAATGCATATGAGCCCGTCACGTTAATACCACCAATACCGTCGTTATCACTCGGAACAAAGTTCAGCCGAGCCGGACCTTTCTTGTTCACCAATAAATATTGGCTGCAACCGCCGAGGTCTTAAGGGGAAGAAAATAAAAATCATCATGAATATTATCCTGTTTATATTTGTGATTGGTAAAATCCTAAATTGTCAGCTGACAAATATTAATATTTTCCTTATCTTCTTATTATTCAGCTTCGTAATTCTCTTCCTGTTTTTAGTTATCTATTTCTTATATTGTTTATTCTTCGCTAATTGCCATGATTACTTTTAAAGGTTTGTAAAATATTTATCATGTATTAGATGCAATAACAATGTTTAAATTAAACATAAGGGATAACAATACTATGACTTTAGTTATTTGGAATAGCTTTGGCAAACTTTAAATATGTTATAGTTACCTTTAGTTTTCATATATGCTTTCCAGCTATTCCAATCCAAGTCGGCACAATTTTCCTCTTTTTCAATAGCGTTAATCAAGTAACATTCATCACTTGTGTCCTTATGGTATAATCCGATACATCTAAAAAGAAATCAAACATAAACATTGTTTAAGTAATATGAAACAATTGGATACTATATTCTACACACTATTCTTTAATCCAGTAAAAGAAACATTTAATAAGAGATATTATAATAATCCTTCAAATGATACATGAACATTTTTTCGCTTTTAGTCTTACGGAATGCATCAATAACTTGTGAATAATTATGTTTTCTGATTTGTTTGATCGGAAATTTCACCAATAGCTTATGACCATGAATACTTTATTTTATTTGTGTTTATTAAAACCATATGCTGACACTTTGAACAAATCAATTTATTTTTCTTTATTTTTGATCAGATACTAAATTGAAAATGTGTGAGCATAATTATTATTTAATTTTGTGTTTTAAACAGCATGCCTCTGGATTTTGAAAATGTATTTTAAAAGGTAGTAATTTGAACTTTTTATATATTTTTATTTCTTTACAAAAAATATATAAAACCAATATTTTCTTCGTCATTTCACATAAACTTTACTCGAAATACTCAAATTTTATCCTAGAGAAACGATAAAAGAAGAGTATCCCGGGTAAGGTATTATCTATACTGCATAAATTGATACCAAGATTTTAAAGATATATAAAGATTTAATTGACTTGATTGTAAACTTGGGTATAATCAAATATAATAAACAAGATCAACAAGGAAAGGCGGTACTCAATGAACGCAACCCCACACGACCCAGCAACAACAACCAGCGGCAAAGAGCTCAGGAGTACCCCTAACAAAAACAGTACAGGGCGCAAGGGAGAGCACGGACAGGCTTATCATCAAAAAATACTATATAGAGGTATTGTGAAAATTGCCTTATTGTGTAATATTATTGTTGTTATGAATACATAATGTGAAAAATGACTTTTATTTATATTGTTCGGGGTTATAGCAGGGACAGGATGCGGGGGCGGGGGTAGCGATAGGAAATAATATCATATCAAAGTGTCCTATCCCAGTGAGTTTTTAATTAAATCGTTTGACATAACCTGTGAATGTATTTCTTTATATGTTTGTGCAAATGCTTTGATGGTTAAGACATATTACTGCATGTTTGGCCCGGTTTGAACAAATAGGTTGGATTTTTTAAAACAAAATATTTTTTCTTATACATGTACGATTGCTGTTCCACAAAGTCGTGGATAATGGCTATAAAGCAAAAAATTAATGCCATAGCCTAAAATAATTATGTTCAGGTGTATCTCCATCCATTTGAAGAAATATGAGAAACATCGTTTCTAGAAAATGACATACATTTAATATTAAAACATTGATACAGATTGAGATGAATATATGCGGCCCATGCCAAAAAATTTAACTGTACCGTCTTCGTACGTGTTGTTTAAATATGCCAATAACATCTTAATATAAACATAGATATTAAGTCTTACCTGTGCTGTAAGCAACATGTTATTGCACACACATTGAATGGTAAGATAGTGATGTTGCTCTTTACACACTTGTACTTCCGGTATGACTCAGAAGGTGTTATCCAACATGCCTTAATGTCATGTGACTCTATCACAGCCAGAACCAGCAGACATATTCCAGTCAAAGACCACAGATAGTTCGAGCTCTGGAAGATTTAAAGTTAATGTCACTTCTAAACAGCATGAATTATGATGATTGCATTGCGAGAAATTTGACGAACATTGGCTATTCTTTCATATCAAAGTACTATACATTTAAGGGAAACAATAAACGACATTAAGATTGTTTTTTTTTTAAATTTAAATTCTTCATTTTTTTACGAATGTCACGAATTTATATTGCGTTTATCAAAGACAAATATGTAATCAAAAAATTAAAATTATGAGCACTCCTTCTCTTATATGACTACTTTTTCTGAAATATAAGGACACAAAAATGTAATACACTGTAAATGAAGTATACTGATAAGTTATATTACATTTAAATTTCTGTTCTCAATAATAATAATTTAAAGTTTGAATTTTTAAGTTTAAATTTTAAATAATACTAGTATATGATCAATCATTGAAATAAAAGAAAAAACATTTTAACCCTTACCGTCATTTCTGCTATCTGCTGATCGATGTTTCTTAATTGAGATAATCATTTAAGCAAACCATAAGTCAACAATTGATTGAAGCGTCATAGCAACAAAGTGTCAGGCTGCAATCAAAAAGAGAAGTGTTTATTGTGACACGGTCGAATCGTGACTATTAAAATGTACCATATGTGCATTCTTGAAAATTCACACAACAATAAAAGTTAGTTATTTCTTAACAACTTACTGTTTGTGCATATACCTTAATACTGTAGCACACAAATTGAAATCATGGCCATTTGCTTTATCAATGAAGTATTATGCGTACATGCTTGTGTTTGGTTTTGTTAAATGCAAGTCCTTTAAACACTCTTACCAGTTATTAACAACAACTGTACCGTAGCACTGTATACCTTTAGCAAAAAATCAGAGCGCAGATGTTTAAATAGTTATCATTTTGTTTGTTTTTGTTTGTTTGTTTGTTTTGTTTTACTAACACCAACACAGTTTAGGTCATATGGCGCCGGAGCAGAAGGATGATTTTGGCTAACCTCGGGTGTGACAAACTTAAAGCAACACCATGGGAAAAGACCACCTCACCTGCTGGAGATAAGAGATGCTTAGACTCAAATTAATCGAACCCATTTAGTCACCTCATACAATCACGCAGTGATAAACGGTGGCCACAATTATCATGCATCTTCGATAAAAAGCAACCCCTTACACGTACAAGGATAACATGTTGTAGAACCCTAAACATACTATTTTACTTAATAACATTATAATGACACTTCTTTGACTAGTTCTTAAAATATTTTATGAAGGGTAATCGCAAAGGTAATGTCTTACATTTACACTATTCAGTAAATGTTAAACATACCGTTTTTTTAGATCGAACGCATAACATATGGCAAATGTCATGGCTGGCTTTGCTACTAAGCAATAAAAGACGACAAAATTTATTATCAGATTATTGTTTTTGAAATATAACAATTATTTTGTTTAGCCTTGTGACGTCTGCTTATCATCGTCAAATTATCAAACAAAACACAAATAATTCTTACTCCCAATGCACAAATGCTTCTTGTTTTTTAATTGCACGAACCACTAAACTTAGGCAGATGTAAACAATTTAGAAGAAACATGCATATCAAATTAATCAGAGTAATTAGTTGGTCTAATTTGATACATACATATTTGATTAAATTTCTGACAAAACTTCTCCTTTGGTATATCTTTTTCCTTTACAACGGTTCCAGGAATACTCCTTTGACAATTCAAAATAATTGATTTGCATACAAAAACACGAATGGCATTGCATGGTTAAAATTATGGAAAAAATGAGTGATAGATCATGCATACGTATTGCGCTATGAATTAAATTTACAAACTGAAAAATGAAAAGAAAAAGGCAACCACGCATATATAGATGTAGTTTACCATGTGTGTACTATAAAATTGTAAAACGTGGTTGCCTTTAAAAATTGAGGCATCATAATCGCAGCCACAATTTATTATAATATATATAAATGATTTCGCTTGTAGTCAAGCTGGTCTTAAAAAGGTAGCACGGTGGTCTTTTACAAAGTGCGATACTATCTTAGAATAGTTAATATATTATAAATTTTTATGTTTGTATTTGATGCTGGTCTTAAAAATAGTGTGGTGATTATCATTTTTGTATTTTCTGATTGCAGGAAGTATAATGCTGACATTCAATACCTGGAATAGCGACACTCTTAACAACATAAAGTAGTTCTCAGACTAGCGATGTAAAAAAAGAAATATTTTCATTTTGTTACAAGTATCCAACGAATTATAACACATATAAAGTTTAAAAGTAGATTTGGCTTATAGCATTGTCCACAAATTGCGCAGATGAATATCAATGAAAATTACTTGGCTATTTCCATAAAGCTTCGGATTATTGTGATCGTAATTTAACGCCGCCTAAATGAACATTTGTTTTTATGGACTTTCTGAAAAATATACTAAGGATGACAGGTACGAATTTAGGGCAGTCGATGATTGATAACAATTTCCACACCTGATAAATTAAATCACGTAAACAAAGCGCTATTTTTAGCGATGTCGATGTCCGAAGGCCGCTGTGCGTATAACACAAATAAATCTGACTGTCAAGTAGTGAAATATAATATACATGTCGGACTGTTTGGGCGAGAAGAATTTCGCTAAATTACTTAGTAATATACATCAGTGTTAAACAAATGGTTTACCGTGAACAAAATATCTCGAAATTAGTTATACTCTACCAGAAAATCAACCTGGTGTCTTTACGCTTGAAATAATACACAGAAAAAAAGAAACTTTTCTGTGCTTTTGTAGATTTCTCTCAAGCTTTTGATTAAGTATGGAGGATGGGCATAAATTGCTCGAAATTTCATTAAATGGTAATTTTTCATAGTTATTGATAATATGTACAAAAACAATAAATCATTTATTTCACATAATTGAGCTGTATCGCCGTCGTTTATTCCTGAAATAGGGGCAAGACAGGGTAAAAAATGTGTCTCCAGTCCTACTTTCCATGTGTATGTACTGAAATGACCTCCCATCTTATTTACAGAATAGTGGAACTGTTTGATCACGACAATCTTATGTCATGGCTTAAACTTATTTTTCTTCTCTATGCAAACGACACTATCTTGTTATTGATCACCGCTGATGATCTCCAAATTTGTTTGAACAATTTAAATGATTACTGTAATAATTGGCATTTAAAGGTGAGCTAAAAATATTAAAACTTAAATATTAATTTGTTGATCGTTAAACTGGGAATTTAATATTTTATTTAGGAGATGAATATATTGGGAAATCCAAGTCTTACCATCACTAAGGTGTGACATTCTCTAGCAATGGTCCGTTACTTAAAGCTAGAAACAAGCATCTAAGACAATGTATTTACTATTTACCGTTAGATCTTATTTTTAAACTATTTGATCACACTGTCTAACCTATTTTGACATATTGATTAGAAATATTTGGATTTGAAAATTTAGAAATATTAATGAACTTCTTCCATGTCTTTGTAAAATAACCAACCCTCGTAAATCGACTCCTTCCCTATACATGCTAACGGGCGAACTTGGACGGTATCCAATATCTATCATAATTAAAACTAGGATGATCTCATTTTGGAATCGTCTTATTAAGAAGAAAGAAAAAAAATAGTTTCAACTTGACAAAAACATGACCAGTTTTCCTAATCATAAGTTTAAATTGATGACTTCTAAGATAAGAGACATTGTGAATTCTGTTTGCCGCCCTGATCTTTGGCAAAACCAGACGCACATAAATCACGTGCATATACATAAACTTAAACTTATATGTAAACACTAAAATACCAATACAAACAGTCTTGGTAAGAAGAAAGACGTCATTGATTTTATTAAACAGATGCTTATTAGAAATACAAGTACATATAATCTAGTTGTTAAATTTATGAATCGATATGGCTCACATTTCACAGACAAAGTCTTTTCCAACATAGTTTGATAAGTTAAATCCCATTGGTTCATAATAAGTAAGATTTTCTCCTAGTTATACTTTTTAAATCTATGAATGGCCTTCCTTTTAGCTGTAGATAACTGTTATGCACAACATTCACGTGCAGATTTACTACATGCTTGTGCTAAGTCTAATAATAAATATCGTGCTTTACATACATGCAGTTGCGTATTTGGATCACAAACACACGCACGCACACACGCACGCACACACGCACACACACACACACACACACACACACAAACAAAACCAAAACCAAACACAAAACATAACAAACAAACAAAAACAAACAAACAAAAATAAAGAAAATAACACAAAACAACCAAACACCAAGCAACTAAACCATACATGATGAAATTAGACAATCGTACAATCAAACGGAAACTTTCATTTCTATTTAAACAAATCCGATAACAAAATGATGTTCTTTAAAGTATATATTTTTTGTAGAAATAGTTGAGGGTTAATGCACCACTTTTTGTGCATTAGCATCTACAGAAGTAAATTCAAATTCTTTATTTCTCTCGTTACATCATATAAATACAAACATGAAATGTTTAAACAATGAATATTTGTTAAACTAAAGACCCCCCCTCCCCCCAAAAATAAATAAATAAATAAATGAATTAAAAATAAAAAGGCCAATACAACAACAACAACTACTACAACACCATCACCACCGCAAAAACAACAGAACAATACCCACAGCAACAGTACGTACATACCAACTATCTAAAAGAGAACAGTCACACGAAAATAGATTTACCATAAATTGTTGTGCTTTTATATGTATGAAAGTTTACACGTGCTTACTTTATTACAAAGATAATAAAAACAATTACTGAGGACATAAATGCTAATTAAAGTTTGATTTTAAATCAATAAATCATGTAAATGACATAACTGTATGAAATTATGTACAAGGTTAGCGTTTATTAGCATTTACAAAATTTAATTGGTCAATACTTATAAAAGACCAATAAAATGTAGCATATGCCTACTTATAAACACTTAACAATTTAGTGTTTGAATTATATTTTATAAAATTTTCGATTAATTAGACTGATAAAATTAAGCCGGTTTACCATTATAATATCTGTCATATTTTGCAGTTCATATAGGAGAATCCTTTCCGAGGGGACCCGCCAATTGGGTGGTAACAAACCTTGCCGGGTTACTGACCATAGGCGGTTTACCGAGGGACGGATATTCCGATCCGAACCGTAAGCATACGTCAAATATTTCTTGCATCTATTGCCATACTCCACCATAACATAAATTACTAATATATTACCTTAATAAAACTTTTTTTGATGGAATATGGAATTTTATGTCATTTCACTGGTAACTTTTTTCTTACAACAGCGTGTGAATTTTAAACTTTATTATAACGGCGAAAATACGTCACCCTAAGCATGGCATATAGAATGCGACTCATCTACTACCCCCATGCCAGATGCATTTTTTTGCATGGGTAAAATAACGGAAAAGAAAAGTAAATGCGTTATAATTCCTTTGAAATACTGCAATTCTATCCGACAAAAATAATTTTAAACAGTAGATTTGTGTAAGGGCGAAAGAGTGAAACATTTCAGCCATCTCAGCCTAAGAGAATTATCAAATGTGTGACGTCATATTTCACAACCAATCACATCAAAACGGATGATCTTTTGTTCATGATAATCTGCGGGGAAAACAGCTATGCATTTCACTTCCACAGGAGTCTGATACACATTGACGACTACCTCATTTCCGGCATCCGGAATCACATTACCTTCAAATAACTGAAACGAAATAAAATATATGTTTCGAAAAAATATTGCTTGTAAGTTTGATAAAGGGGCCACCTGAGATCAACTGCTAGTAAAGGTCATAATATGTTGATTTAGTAGTAAGTCATCGAGTTATATTGGATTTGTGGCCATTTTATCAATCAGACAAGGATTTAGTCGATTCATGATAAATAAATGTTGTTTATTCATCGAGTGTTATCATATTCAAGCATTTTTCTGAATATTTTAACGTGATTAACTTTCAATATCAAATAATTCATTTAACTAATTTTCGAATCTTTTGATTTTTTTAAATGATTAAGGAAAGGTAAGCTTCAAAACAAATGTTAGACTTTTCTAATCAAACGGTACTTACTGCTTTTTTGTCCGCCCAGACCCACTTGTTGCAGTCAGCACTTTGATGGATATAAACAGATGTTACCCTTTCATCACAGCAAGAGTCAAAAGTTCCATTTCGCCACCTTCCTTGAATTGCAAATCCTCGAACTTTTGAAAAGTTTGGTAGAGTAAACTGTAACAATGTTTATGTGATATAAACAAATACGAGTAAATATAGCAAGTTAATAAACGATACTTTTGCATCTTAATAAGGTGCAACTATTAGTATAAAACTACGTATATAACAGTATTTTACATTTTATCTCGTTAAAAGATCTACAGAGCTAGGGAATTTGTGTGACGACGGCGTCATATTAGCTTAATAAAGGGGCGTCCGTGGCCGAGTTGTTAAGGTCGTTGATATCAAATCACTTGCCCTTTACCGTTGTGGGTTCGAATCCCGACAGGGACTTTTGATTCTTTAATGTGAGGAAGCTATCCGGATAGCTAACGGAACGTCGGTGGTTCTACTCAGATACCCTTTCGTGCTTGTAATAATGCACAGAGGGGCACCTGATGTCTTCCTCCACCAGTAAAGCTGGAACGTCGCCAATGACCTATACACTGTCGGTGTGAACAAACAAATATTTTATGTAATATATGAAAAACAAGATCAACAAGGAAAGGCGGCGTTCAATGACATTTGAACATGCGACATTTGCAAACGAGAGGAATCATGTAATACTGAACATAAATGATCAGAAATCTATGACGAGTTATCAGAATATGATATTTACTGATATCTAAATACTTGTAAAACAAGCAAGACCGTTTATAACTGTAACGTAGACTGACTTACATATGCATATTTGCCCGTCACGTTAATACCACCAATACCGTCGTTATCACTCGGAACAAAGTTCAGCCGAGATCGGTGATTCTTTTTCATCAATAAATATTGGCTGCACTCGCCAAGGTCTTGAGGGAAAGAAAATAAAAATTATCATGAATATATAATTCCTTTTTTGCTTGGTATAATTTTATTCGCTTTCAATTTATCTCATCATTACTTTTATAAAATAACGAAAATATATATTACTCCTTACTATCTATTAAGTTTCCAACTTCGTTACATTGTTCATTAATTCCTTACATATCGTCTGTATACGCTTAATTGCTCGCATTATTATCTTGTAAACGGGTAACACTCATTCTCTTGATTTCCAGAAATATTCTTCGACTACAGTTCTTCGGAACATCTTTGGCAAAATTTCAATATGTTATAGTTACCTTTAGTTTTCTTATATGCTTTCCAGCTAGTCCAATCCAAGTCGGCACAATTTTCCTCTTTTTCAATAGCGTTGATCAAGTAACATTCGTCACTTGCGTTCGTGTGATACAATCCGATACATCTAAAAGATACATTAACATTTTTTCTGGGAATATAAATTAAAGTGATTTTAAATTAACATTCTATACAATATTCTTTTATCTAGCAAACGTTACTTTTGTATATAAGATATAACATTTACACTTATCATTTAAATGAAACATAAACACTTCTTTCGTTTTGTGTCTTACCGACCGAATGCATAATGCATCATTAAGAGGCGAAATGAATAATTATGTTTTCTGATTTGTTTGATGATGCTTACTAATGTATAATGTGTTTGATTGGAATTTCACCAATAGCTCATGACCAGACCATAAATATTTTATGTAATGTTTGTTAAACTTCATTACATCGTGGTCACATCAATTTATCTTTCTTTATTCTCTGTGTTTTACCAGATACTAAATTGAGAAATTGTGCGCAAAAATGTTATTTAATTTTGTGTTTAAGGTTACATAAAGAAAGACTTTGTGATCATAGTTTCACTATTTGTGTTTGTTTTATACGTTATTGATAAATTGTGAATAAAAATAAATATTCTTTATTATCAGCCTTTGATAAAATCTTTTCACATAACTTGTAATCATATTTCTTTATATTGTTGACTGTTCGCAAATAACAGATTATGTATAATAAATGGCTTATCAATGCACTAGACAAACATGATTGACAATAATATTTTTCTTTCTAGATTTTACCAAAATATAAACATAAATTTTTATGTTACCGATGCTGTAAGCAACATTGCATTGCACACACATTAAAAGGTAAAGTCATGACGCTGCTCTTTACACACTTGAACTTTCGGTATAAGTCAAAAGGTGTTATCCAACATGCCTTCATGTTGTTTGACATTATCACAGCTTGAACCAACAAACATATTCCAGTCAAAGACCACACATATTTTGAGCTCTGGAAGATTTAAAGTAAATGTCACTTCCAAAGAATATGAATTATGATGATTAACTTCCGATTGCATTTGGAAAAATTGTTATTCTTTCATCTTAATTTTTTTGAAGAAACATTGAACCTCTTTATGAAATGTCACAAATTATATTGCGTTTATTACAAAGAATACGCCATCAAATAATTTAAAGAAAGTGAGCACTCCAATTATTTAAGCAGCTGATTTGATTAAACACAAAAATTGACGAATATGCCAATAATTTACATGCATTTTAATTTCGATTCTTAATAATCTTTTTAAGTTTAGTCTCTAAACTATACTAGTTTCAGTCATAAAAAAGCCTTACCTTCATTTCTGTCATACAGTTTGTCAAGACTAGAGTTGAGTGATCGATTGAGATAAAACTTTCAGCAAACCATAACTCACACAATTGTTTTGAAGCGTCATAGCAACAAAGTGTCAGGCTGCTTTAAACGAAAAAATTGTTTATTGTGACCCGATTGTAAATCTGAAACGAATCGTGACTATAAAATGGATGGAGATTATAATATGTATACGAAATGTTTACACAGCCACTTAAATGAGAAATTTCATAGAAAATTACTGTTGTTGCATGCACCTTATCACAGACAAATGCAAATCAAAAGGTCACTTCAGTCTATTCCTAAGAATGTTCGAAACTTATAAATTTTGGAACATAAAGTCAACAATGATGAACACGAAATAAAAAAAAAACTTTTCACATTGGTCCATGAAAATGCAAAAAAGAACAGAAAAAATTGCGTGTTAAATGAGGTAAAACTGAAAGTGGGTTCTGTTGAACTATGAAAAATTAGATGATCAGATGATCAAATTGCAAAAAAGGATTTGTTGAGGGACGAACTTCTTTATCTGCAATATCATTCCATGCGAAATAGCCTTATCTTTGCTTACATAGATAAGGCCCAAACAGAATTTTCTGTCGTAACGGAAAAAACATAAAAAACTTTCTTAGCAAACAAAATGAAAATTATTAAAACAAATGACGAGTAACTAGAGTTTGACAGAGTGCGCAGAATTGGAGACAAAACGGTCGTCATAGTTGAAAAATTGTAGCCATGTTTTCCCTTTTCAAGGAATGTAAATTTGTACATAAAAAAGGGGAAAACATGACAGTGATAAAATTATTTTTTGCATGAACAATGTCCTTAGGAGGTAAATACTAAAAGGTGAAAACTAGTAACAAAACTCAAGGAGGCAAATCAAGCAGAAAAGCGGGCGTGACTAGCTTATGCCAGAAAGTTTACGTAGATTGAAAGCCGAAGTTGAGGACAGATAAGAAGTCAAGGAGGATGGACTGAACATGTAGATAGTTAAACTTGCGGTAAGAAAAAATACAGCGAGATTGTAAAAAAAGAAAAAAGGAAATTGTACATAAATGAAAGTAAAATTATCTAAAAAAAACATCTTTTTATAAATATGATATAATGCAATTATCTCATCAATTTCAAAATTTATACCTTAAAGTGACATTATGCCCATCCAAGGGTATATAGTGAGTGAACGGGTGAGATCAAAATAAGGTTTCATTTTGCCATAATTCCTTTTAATTTATTAATTAATTTTGCATAAACAATAAATAACTCGCAGATCCAAAACGAAATTTCTGTAAATAGCCATTAGAATTTACCTATAACGCTTAGTTTATAAAAAGAGTGGGGCAGTCTTTTTAAATTTTAGGCAGATTCATAATTTTATCGTAAACATTTTCCAATATCAACTTTTGGTTAAACACCATTTTGACAGTCAATCTTTTGAAATATAAAGTTAATTCAGCTCAATTTGACTATAAAAATATGAGCATAATGTCACTTTAAATGTAATGTGAAAATCTTATGTTTCCTTCATTGTAAGATTAAAATGGTTATGCATAATGTATGATTGTATGATCTATCAATAAATGGGGTTCCACATTTGTGGACCTGAAGCTGAAAAAAAAAATTGTAAATTTGATTTATAAAACTTACTTTTATATGTTTGGGACGAGCAAAGAAATAGTCGTATATTCTGATGTTTTTATTGTTATTTTAGATCATGGTCATTTTCCAGACAAAAATGGATAAAGGGTGTAGTTAAGGTATATAATAATAGGGATATTTCATTATTTAGTTTCTTTTCTGAGTTATTTACAATACATCAGTTCGGTCTTAGAAAAGTAAAATCAACTGTAGATGCATCATTATTTATACTTCTGAGTAGTGTGTAACATTATTGAGATGAAACAAAAAGATAAAATTATGTGTTTATTGGTTAAAAATGTTTTGATACGATATACAGAAATCACTGTAGCTGAAATTGTACACATTAGAAATACAAGATTAGTTATGATTGAAAATTAATGACATGTATATAAATGTTAAGTCTTGTGTTACGCATGTAACAATTATTTCCCTTAATTTGAGTATGCTGTAGGCTTATGTCAAGGGAAGATTATGTTTCCGTTACTTTTTGTCTCTGTTCGTAGAAGGCCTATAATTATTGATATAGGAAGATCATAGATCTGGACTTTATATCGAAGAAATAATCTTAACTTTACTATTATTTGTTGATGATATGGCAAAATTCGGAATAAAATGCAAATGCAAATAAATATATCATAATTATGAATTTATATGTAAACAGTGGAGATTTTAAGTAAATGCAGACAAAACAGAAATGTTTGTGTTAAGGAAAAAAACAGGTTAATTAGGAAATTAGTATTGGTCATAAAATGGTTATGAAATTGAGGTAGTGAATGACTTTAAATAATATTGAACAGTTTTCGATTACAACGGTAATGTTACACTTAATCTGGAATACATTACATAAAAAGCGTAAAAGGCGCGTAATATTTTGCTTTGAAAGTGTAAAACGTAAGTTTGAAACGCAAGTTATTATTTCAGCCGTTTGATTCTTTTGTTGGCTCATTTTGTAATTATTTCTCAGAAATATGGGGCTTTACAAATTAAAAACTTGAATTGAATAGACACATTTGCGATTTTGTGAAAATACATTGCCAGTTATAAAACGCTTGTGCATTTAACCTGTAGATACGCTAGAATATAAATACAAATAAATAAACGGTACTGGCAATGCCATTCTTTAATATGAATTTCATTTTTTCTTGTATGGCCATGTTATACAAATACTCAATGCCTGTATATTAAAAGATATTACATTTTATAAACCTCGGTATGTACACATTTATTTCATTGCTGCAAAGTAATGATATAAGTTACTGTGTAAATAAGCAGTGTTACAAAAATACTATTACCATTAGAATTTCAATTTTAAATAATGTTTAATGATAGAGTAGAATGTAGTCTTTGTCTTAAATATGTTCATTTTTACGCAATTTATATTTAATTGCAATTATTGTTTTCATTGATTACACAGAAATGTACAAGAAACTTAAAAAATATGTTGTATACAATGATGCACGCTCTTGAAAACAGTTCTGTTCTGTTCACATTTCACAAAACTGTTTATCGTACCAGCAGCATTGTTTAAAGCAACTCATGGAACACTCTTTCCCTAATATCAACAAATGGTAGCAGTGAGGACTTACATTAATTCAGAGCAGCACTGTGTCAATGGCTATATGTTGCAGAAGCCTAACATAATACCCTACTTAGTCACAATATAATGACACAGTGTTGACTAGATCTACAATATTCTATGTAACTGAAACACAAAGAAATTGCACAACAAGCACACTCTCCTAAAAATGTTTAACTTCACCGTTCGTGAGATCGAAGCCGCCACCTATTGCATTTATCATTGTTTTAACTGAAACCCATTATCAGATTATATTGTTGGAAACCTAACAATGTTTCTGTTTTGACTAGGAAAATCAGCTTACCATTGACAAAGAATTAAATAAAACATAACTAATTCTTACTCTTCATGCAGTAATTTCATTTTATCTCTATATCTCTATATTATAGTGGAAAATTACAAATTTAAAATGCTGTTTGTTTCTGAATGCACTATCAACTATACAAAGACAGATATACGAAAGACTATGGAAGTATATATCCTATATTTTGTTGACGCATTCATGTAGGGAGAGACATGTTATGGTATGTCGACATGCTTCAATAGAATACACTATGTCGACAACTTTACCTTAAACCTACCTCGCTCGTTTTCCATCATTATTTCTGAAATATTTGTGAGATATTTCATTACTTTAATCAAATAGGAATGGATGGGGACTACCTTAAAAACAAAACAAAATCAACTGATGTTTTCATAACAAAGGATTTAAGCTGAATCATTCACCCTATGGTGTTGACATGCTTCAGTCATGTTTAATGACTTAAAAAACTTAAAAAGACGAACAAATTCGTTCATGTTATCGCCGCAAAATGGTCTCTGTTAGCTTTGAAGCCAGGGAGATATTACCAGGACCATTTTAAGGACCATGTTAACAAAAGGTTGTAACCATATTTTACCATTGGCAGTTTGCCATTAAAAATTGAAATAATCAATGGGTAAAAATACACAGGATCGAAATGAAAAAAATCACTTATATACTGCACATGGTCTAACCCCGTGAGAATAAAAAGAAATGTCTGATTCGGCGTCTTCAGATAGTCGTTCAACGTGAAATATATCTCATATGTCGTATTCCAGTAGACGTTTTACGAGAAAATTGTTTCGCAAGTCGGCTAAATGTTTAATGATCTCCTTAGACGTAAAAACGCAAGTCGTCTTGACAAAAATTCTGGCAAGACAAACAAATCTAGACACAATGCATAAATATTTTTTTTACGCAAAACGCTTGATGCTATACAACTTGATGAAAACTTTTTGGTCTTAATATCTAAAAACAAGAGAAACAAATGAGAAACGTCTCGTAACAGGAGGTCGTTTACAGCTTACGTAATAAACGACCGCTGGTGATATTTCACTTTCTTGAATTCAAGATATCAACTTAAAAAAGGAAGGTTTCAACTTCTTGAAATCAACTTCACGAATTTACAATTTCGATTCCACGTTTCGAACTTTAACGATTTCAACTTAGTGAAATCTTGAATTCGTGAGTGAAGTTGAAATCAAGAAGTGCAATAAATGAATTCATACAGTTGAAATAAGCTGAAATCGTGAAGTAAAAACGTGAATTTGATAACATGAATTTAGGAAGTTATAATTAAGAATTTGTGAAGTTAAAATAGTGAATTCATGAAGTCAAAATCGTGTTTTCGTCAATTCCTTATGTCGATAACATGACTTCACGTAGTTAAAATTGAGAATTCACAAAGATGAAATCGGAAATTCATGAAATTTAAATGTCTCGACCGTTCTTTCCTTCAGATATAAACAATTTAGTAGAATGTAACACAAATATATACCATGCATAACAATTTAATCAGAGTAATGAGACTAATTTGACAAGCATTGTCAAACATTTTCATAAATATTTCATTTGATTTCTTATCAAAATTCCGTTTGTTACATCTGTTTCCTTTGCAAGTTAAATA